GCTATGTAATGCAATATATATAGAAAGCCAAAACAAGCTGAATGGGCACTCGAAAATTCACAAAATTACTCTCGTTTGACACCTATTTCCAACCATCTATCATATCATACTCTTTAATACTCATAAAGCCTTTACTTCAAATGTTTCTCATTTGTTTATTCCAAGAACTATTCAGGAAGCACTGGATCACCCGAAATGGAGATTGATTGTTCAAGAAAAGATGGATGCACTAATTGCCGACGACACTTGGGAAATTGGTGACCTACCGAAAGGGAAGAAGACTGTTGGCTGTAAATGGGTATTTAAAGTTTAAGGCTGATGCGAGTATAGAAAGGTACAAAATAAGACTTGTGGTAAAGGGGTTCACTCAAACATATGGAATTGACTACAAAGAAATATTTGTTCCTATAGCCAAGATGAACGAATCCGTGTGTTACTTTCTCTAGCATCTCACTCAAACTCCTTATACCAACTAGATGTGAAGAATGCCTTCTTAAATGAAGACGTAGAGGATGAAGTCTTTATGGATCTACCACCAAGATTTCAAGGGAAGGTGCTAAAGGCAAGGTGTGTAGATTGAATAAATTGTTGTTTGGACTCAAACAATCTCCTAGAGCTTGGTTTGAACGCTTTGAGAAGGTAATAAAGAGTCACGGCTACTACCAAGGTCAAACCGATCATATTATGTTCTATAGACACACTGGTTGAGATAAAATGGATATCCTTATTGTATATGTGGATGATATAATTCTCAAAGGTGATGATAGCAATGAGCTAGAGAGGTTAAAAAAGATTCTTGTATAGGAATTTGTAGGGGTGTCCAAAAGTCCCGAACACTTCGGACCGAACTGTACCCAAACCAAACCGAACCAAACCGAGCTTTTCTTCATAAATTAAATACCCGAATGGGTACCAAAATCAAGAACTAATGGGTTTGGGTTGGGCCTCGGGTCTAGACGAAGAACCGAATTAGAACTGAACTAAATAAATTTTTCTATTTTTTGTATTGAATTAATTAAATTATTTTATTTTTTCTAAACGAATTAGCAAATTAATTAAATAAATCAGAT